GGTCAGCTAAATAAATATATAAATAAGAGTTCTTTCATTTTTGCAAGAGTCTCTCATTGTCCATGGGGACTTCCCCCTCCATCAGTGGAGGTCACAGCCTGGATAGTCTGGATATCTCCACAGGTAATAAATATCACCCCTCTCCCATCCCCTCGTCCATAAGCATGCAGCACAGCAATCCCCCTCCTGCCTCGCCAGCAGTATGAGCAGTGCGGCTGTCCCACAGCCCAGCTTTAGCCTCAATGTGGTCATGCCCATTCCCTCTCAGCGCAGGATCCTGCCTGGAGGAGCTCTGGCAACCCAGATCAATCCCAGCCCATGGCCACCGACGTTGGCTGAGGACAGGCATTTGGTGCTGGGGTTGGCAGAGCATGGGAGCAAATCAGCTTTTCATTCGCCGGAAGAGTTTGTCCAAGTGTTGGAACAAGGAGTGAACTTCAAGGCGAACGTGGTCCCAGGCGCAGGCGCTGTAGCTGTGGGCATGGAGGTAGCCATTGATGCCATGGATGTATTTGTTGATCGTGAGCAGCAGGTTGTGGGGTCCTCGGCTTCGAAAGCGTCTGACATTGCCTGACAGGCAGTGCTGGAGGCGCTGGATGCGGTGCTGGAGGCTGTTGAGGAGCTGGTGGCGTGGCTCGTTGTGCCAGTGCTGGGGGGTGCTGGGGCTGCTGAGGGTGTGGAAGAGGTGCTGGAGGATGCGGAGGGCGGTGGCGGCGGCTTGCTGCGGGTGGCTGATGTGCAGGAGGGTGTCGGGGAAGAGGGGCGCCTGCTGGTGTTGGCAGGGCGGTGTGGGGCTGGGAGCCATGGCCTGGAGGAGCTGGAGGCTGCGCCAGGGGAAGGTGTCATCGCGGGCAGGCCGGTGGTGGCAGGCGAGGCCGGTGGCGAGAGCCGTCAAGAGGAGCAGGAGCGCCGGGGCGCCGCAGCCCAGGCGGGGCTGTGGGGTTGCGGGCGTAGGCATGGTGGGGCTGTGGGTGCTGCCTGGGGGGTGCTGGGCAGGAGCGTGCCGCGTCTCGGTGGTGGTGCTGGTTGGCACTGTGCTGGGGGTTCTGCCAGGTGGCAGCCTTATATATGGCACCACTTTCCATTCATCATCACCATTCTCTAGACAGGATTTCCCTAGTTCCATTTTCAGTTTTGCTTTCTGTTTAGTTTTTCCTTAGGCCTTTTTTTTTTCTACTTGTCCAAAGTCTGAGCAGGGGTTTGCCCTGCTCTAAGGAAGGGAAGGGGGAGCTGGTTCTTTCCCATGAATGTTGTTGGGGTGCAGAGGGGTCCCATACTGCTGTGCTGTTATGGTTCAGCAGGGGACATGAAAATGTGGATTTTGGGTTGCCTTCAGGATTTCCTTTTTGTCTGTTTTGTTCATTATCTTTCTTTGCTTTTATTTTCAAGTCTCTCTGCCTATCCGTATCAATTTCTCTTATTTCATTTTTTTTCTATTTGTTTATATGAGTTAATACATGTTTTCCTTTTTTTATTGGAAATATTTTTAATGTGTCAGTCTACTTTCTCTTTTTTTTTTTTTCCTTTTCCTTTCTGTTTCCTTTTCCTTTCACTATTACATCTACAGCCTTGCTGCGGAGGAGTTTCTCCTCTCTGCAAATATCTCACAGAATATTTCTGTGGTCATCTGTCAGTTTCAGTTTTTACATTTCCCAGTCTATTTCTCTTCAGCATGTTGATATTTACAAACAAATGCATAAATGCTATTTTTCAGCTATTCATGCAGTGGTTGTGATTTCTAGATGGGGGGGGGGGGGGATTATTACATTTTGAATTTACTGTAGAAATTATACAACATTAGATGTTGCAGGAGCAGGTGGGAATATTTGTCAGGTGGTTTTCCCCCACCTGAGGGACAGTGGAAATAGTTGCAATCCTTAGACCCTGTTCTCACGAGGGTTTGGTTATATTTTGTCCAGTTTATATAGGCGAAGAATGCTAGTGTGTCATTTCCAGTTCATATCACAGAATCATAGAATGGTTTGGGTTGGAAAGTTCCTCAAGATCATCTGGTTCCAACCCCCTGCCGTAGCCAGGGATGCCTCACACTAGACCATGTTGCCCCAAGGCTCTGTCCAACCTGGCCTTGAACACTGCCAGGGATGGGGCATTTACCACTTCCTTGGGCAACCTGTGCCTGTGCCTCACCACCCTCACAGTAAAGAACTTCTTCCTTATATCTAACTTGAACTTTGCCTGTTTAAGTTTAAACCCATCACCCCTTGTCTATAGCTACAGTCCCTGATGAAGAGCCCCTCTCCACTGAATCCTGCTCAGATGTATTCTCACATTCTTTTTTTGTTGACTTTTTCCTTGGAATGAAATGGGAGTGGTGCTTTAAGACTTCTAATGTTAATTTGGTTGTACTTTATTGAATGTTTTTTGCCAGAGTTGATTAGGTGGAATTACCTGGCAATGAAAGGATGATGAAATATGGCACTGTTTCAAGTTACAGAAAGCACCTGTAATACTTAGTCTTTGTTGGAATATTTTGTGTTCAGTGATGGAGGATAGGGTGTAGGAAATGGAGGTGAGGCACAGAAATACAGAAAGTGGAAGGTGCTGTCAACTGTGAAAGAGCATTTGAGGTGCCAGGGAATTTGTAGAGGCAGGTATGAAGGAAGAGAATATTCTTCCTTGGGTTGGGGCAATCCCAAGCACAAATACAAGGTGGGTGGAGAATGGATTGAGAGCAGCCTGAGGAGAAGGACTTGGGAGTGTTGGATGACAAGAAGCTCCACATGACTGGGCAGTGTGCACTTGCAGCTCAGAAACCAGCAGCATGCTGGGCTGCATCAAAAGGAGCATGACCAGCAGGTCAAAGGATGTGATTCTACCCCTTTAGTGTGCTCTTGTGAGACCTCACTTGGAATACTAGGTGCGGTTCTGGGGCCCCCATCACAAGAGGGGCATACACCTGCTTGAGCAAGTCCAGATGAGGCCATGGAGATTCTCTGAGGGCTGGAGCACCTCTGCGCTGGAGACAGGCTGAGAGAGCTGGGCTGGTTCAGCCTGGAAAAGAGAAGGCTCCAGGGAGACCTTAGAGCAGCTCCAGTGCCTAAAGGCACTATACAAAAAACCTACAGTCGGCTTTTTACAAAGGCATGTAGTGACAAGACAAGGGGGAATGGCCTTAACCTGACAGAGGAGAGATTGAGATTAGACATGAGGAAGAAATTCTTCACTATGAGAGTGGTGGGATCCTGGCACAGGTTGCCCAGAGAAGCTGTGGCTGCCCCATCCCTGGCAGTGTTCAAGGCCAGGCTGGATGTGGCTTGGAGCAACCTGGTCTAGTGGAAGGTGTCCCTGCATGTGGCAGGGGGTTGGAACTGGATGAGCTTTAAGGTCCTTTACAACCCAAACCATTCCGTGATTTTCAGTGTTGGAGATGTGTGGAAATGGTTATATCTCAACGTATCAGAGGTGATGAGGAGTAAACAGTAAGAATTAAAAGAAAAATGCATAGTAGAGTACTAGCCCCGTAGCAAAGGGCTAACTTTTCTCTTTTTCTCCCAAATTGAGGCAAAATGCCACTTCATTTTTGCTGACATGTGCTGTGATCTTGGAGTGCAGGCTTTCTAGGGTGAGGCCTTTCTTACTTTCCTGTAGAAGACCTAGAAGAATGATCTGAGGCAGTGGTCTACACCTTTTTTGATTGCACACCCCATCAGTTATAAATTTCTGAGCACTCATCCCCAATATATTTTTATTTCTGAATTACATACCTATGATACTGTGCTAATCTGACTGTTATAAAGCATACACAAAAATAAAAGTTAAAAAAGGATTGAAGGTTAAACAAGCACTATTTTTTTTTCATTATGTTGTTTTATTTTATTAACGGTACCAAACCCAATTTTTCATGCGCCCCAATGGATTGTCTTGCACATCCCACTTTGGAGAGTTCTTGTCGTGGTTTAAACCCAGCTGGTAACTCAAAACCATGCAGCCACTTGCTCACTGCCCCCCTTCCTCCCCCCACTCCCAGAGGGATAGGGAGGAGAATCAAAAGAATGTAACCACAGGCTGAGATAAGAGCAGTCCAGTAACTAAGGTATAACACAAACCACTACTGCTACCATCAATAATGATAATGATAAGGGAAATAACAAGGGAATACAACTGCTCACCACACACTGACCTATACCCAGCCCGACCTGAGCAGTGATCTGGTCCTTCTGGGTAACTGCCCCCTGGTTTATATACTGGGCATGACGTGCTGTAGCATGGAATACCCCTTTGGCTAGTTTGGGTCAGGTGTCCTGTCTCTGCTTCCTCCCAGCTTCCCCTCTTCCCTGGCAGAGCATGAGGCTCAGAAAGTCCTTGGTCAGAGTAAACATTACTGAGCAGCAACTAAAACCATCAGTGTTATCAGCATTGTTCTCAGGCTGAAAGTCAAAACCACAGCACTGCACCAGCTACTAAGAAGGAAAAAAATGACTGCTACTGCTGAACCCAGGACAGTTCTCCTGAAACATAGTTTAAATAAATTTCCCAGTCATCTGGTAGTAACTCTTTTTACTATTTTCCTCTTTTTTTTTTTTTTTTTTTTGGCTTGTTTTCAAATGTTTGTACTGTTTTCCAGCTGATGTTTCCGCTTTTAGAAAATAGGGTATGGCACAAGGGTCAAACCTTTAGGCTACATCCCAGGTCTTTGGCTCCTGATGGTCTGTTGCTCTTCCAGGTACTGGAAGAGTCTTCTCACTGGAATGTAACAGCTCGGAGCTGAGGGTTGGGAGGGAAAAGTGTGTGGTTGTTGTCTTTAGCTTACTGTTAAGGATGAAGTATTTGTTACACAATGCTAAAAACATCAGAAAGTAGGTTTATTTTGAAGTTGAGGATGCAGGTTAATCTAAAGCTCTGCTGTAAGCGATAAGGTCACCTTCTGCTCAAACCTCTGTCTTGACAAATTTTCTTACAATTACAATGCAGGATTCGTAAGAGCTGTCCATTTTTGATATGGTTTCAACTATTAATAAACAATGTTGTCTCTTTCCAAGGATTACTATGGAATTACATTCCCTGCTCCAGCAACCTTGACAGGCAGAGATGGGAGCCTTGCTAACAATCCATACTCAGGTGAGTGCTGTTTAAAGATGAGGATGGTAAGTGAGATGTGCTGGTTTCTAGATGCAGGTCATCCTGCCATTGGTGAAAGAGCAGTTGTTTTTGCCTATTGTAAGCAGTTGAAACCGTCAGTCCGAACTAGACAAACAGAAGCGAGCATCTCTCTCTCAACCCTGACATTGGTGTTTCTTCATGGGTTTGGTCAGCAATTCATATGTGACTTATAGGAATGAGCTGGATAGCCTTTGAGAACAAGCGTAGAATTGTTATGAGTGTAAATGCTGTGCCATCTGGTGCCCTTCCTGAGCACATACAGGTGCTTGAAAGATATTCCGTAGCTTAATCATTCTTCTCAAAATTCAACTGGCTTGCCTTCCTTTTTTTGGCACTGGAATAGACTCTTCTCAGCAGCAACCCATGCTTCGTTACTGCTATTTTAGCGCTGTTATGTTCCCATGTAGCAGGCTGTCCCTCACCCTCTCCAAATCTAAGGGATTTCATTCGCAAAAGCATGTGGTTTTAAGAAGCCCTTACTCATTCCTTCTCTTGCTCCTCAGTTACTGGTGTGCAGAGATGACATTAGTGCCATCCAGGATTTTCATCCCATGGTTTTCATCTACTGCGACCAGATTGCAACTTATAAGTGTAGTTATGCATAGTACAGTTCCTATATTGACAGTGTTAAGTGTTGTCATACTTGTTGGTAACCAGCAAAAAGGAGTACTGGCTAAGAATGAGATAATGTGATTGATGTATGTAACCTCCCTAAAAGAGATGTGAGCGTGCTGTTCTGTAGGCTGCCAGAAAATGCAGGTGTTCAAGAGTTTTCTGCTTCATAATCACTTCTCTCAGGAGTCTGCTTTTGGGTTTTTAACCGAATTTCCCTTCCTACTTCTTCAATAAGGTGGCCCACGATGCAAGCCTTGCTTTCCTGGCCTTCAGCTACTGTCTCCAGAACTTTGGTGGTGTGAGGAACCAGACATATTAACTAGTCATGCTTGACAAATAAACAGACATTGACAAAAATATACCCATCACTGCCTGTAAATTCTAACTTGCTTTCAGCCCATGAAGCCTAGCTAATCAATTTAACCTCCAGGAAAGTCACACTTTAACCCAACAACCATTTGCCTTTTGGCTATTTACCATACTTCCTGCTTTTAGCATGTTTTATTGCAATGATCTGATAGCAGTGAGTCTGCTCAGACCTTGTGAGATAGGTAAGTATTGGTTATCTCCACTTTATCAGTGGATTAGCCACAGCACAGAGTTCAGTGCCACAAATAGGCAATGTCCTTGTGGCCGTCAGAAAGAGAGACCAGGAGAGTGCTTCCCCTAAACAACTGCTGGCTTTCAAGTGTAGGATATGCTCTATTCTTTAGTGGTCTGCTTGTATTCAGAGGATTTGAGCCCTGTGAGTCCTCCACTTTTGGAGTAGCTTGGATAGCTTTTCTGATCAGTTCCTTCTTTTGCAGGTGACGTAACAAAATTTGGCCGTGGGGATTCTGCCTCCCCTGCTCCGGCAACCACGCTTGCCCAGCCGCAGCAGAACCAGACACAGACTCACCACACGACTCAGCAGCCCTTCCTCAACCCGACCCTGCCCCCAGGGTACAGCTACACTGGGTTACCTTACTATGCTGGTGTGCCCGGTGTACCCAGTGCATTCCAGTATGGGCCAACCATGTTTGTAAGTGTGACAGCCTAAGCTGTAACCCTCGTTTCGTGCCTCTCTGGTTTTGCTCTCTCCAGCCCAAACTGTCTACATCCTGGAATCATAGTTTTTGATTCACTAGATCAGGTTACTCAAAGCCCTGCATCATCTGGCCTTGAACACTGCCAGGGATGGGGCAGTCACAGCTTTGCTGGGCAACCTGTGCCAGTGCCTCACCACCCTTGTCATAAAAAATACCTTCCTTATGTCCAATTTAAACCTCCTTTTTTTCAGTTTAAAACCATTGCCCTTTGTCCTGTCAGTACAGGACCTGGTAGAAAATTTTTCTCCATCTTTCCTATAAGCCCCCTTTAAGTATTGAAGGGTCTCAGTAAGTTATCCCCAGAGCCTTCTCTTCTCCAGGCTGAACAACCCTAGCTCTCTCAGCCTGTCTTCATAGCAGAGGTTCACCAGCCCTCTGAGCATTGTTGTGGCCCTTCTCTAGACCTGCTTTAATAGTTCCATCTCTCTCTCTTATACTGGAGACCCTAGAAGTGAATCCAGTACTCAGGTGGATTCTCATGAAAATGGTATGTAGCATTATCTTCCCCAGCCTTCCAGGCATCTCCAAAAACATGCAAGCTTGAGAAACCAGTTTCCGTCCCTTCCACAGGAGAGCAGGAAATTTAAAATGCAGAACTCACGGACTCTTGCACAGGTTACTGCAAATAGCAGAAGTTACAGCTCATTGACTCGGTGATCCTGAAAGCCCTTACCAGTCTCTGGAGAGTCCAAAGGAGACCCAAAGCTCCAGTTAGCTTGGAGTGCCTAGGAAATCCTTTCAAGGTCAGAGGGGACCCCATTAAGTCAGAGCACTGTACTGGTAGTTTCAGTGGAAGAAGGTTATTTGGGAAAAGGTGATGTTCCAGGCAGGAAGACTAGATGATTCTGGTTTTGGGCCCTGTAGGACAGTGCTTTATGAAACAGCCTCAGGCAGGAATTGTTGTTTTGTTTGGTTCTGGGGGGAGGGCACTGTGGTTGCTGCTTCATGTGTTTGTTGTGAATTGTGAATTTGCTGTTTACCTTAACAGTATGAAAGAAATAAGCAGCCTGGTGTGAGACATGGTTACACTGCAGTCAGAGGGATGGCTCTAGCTTGCACTAATCCACTATAGATAGTTACTTCTGGAAGCATAAGTGCCATGTCCCGTGCCATCCCAGTGCTCCCAGCTCCATATTAAATTTTCCAGGAGGTGGAGGTGCCTTCCCCACTAGATGGCAGAGGCAGCTTGTGTTTTGTGTGCTGTTCCTCAGGTGACAGGGCTTTTTGTTCCCTTCCTTTGTCCAGGTACCTCCAGCATCTGCAAAACAGCATGGAGTCAACCTGAACACCGCGTCGACTCCTTTCCAGCAAGCGAGTGGCTATGGGCAGCATGGCTATGGGGCAGGTATGCTTACCACTGTGCCTCTCACGTGGGTGCCTGCCCAGCTGCTTGCACACTAACACCTTGTCTTGTACACACCGGCAGGCTATGATGACTTAACGCAGGGAACGGCAGCTGGAGATTACAGCAAAGGAGGCTACAGTGGGTCATCTCAAGCACAAAACAAATCTGCTGGCACTGGACCTGGGAAAGGTAACACATGAGACTTGAGATTGATCTTCAGTGTGACTTAGCAGGGCCGATTCCCAGTGCTGTGCCGTCAACACAGCAGCCAGCTCTAAACAGGGTCATGATCCAAGCTGTTTCTCCATCTCCCGTATACAAAATGCTTTTTTAATGGCCCAGTTGTTCCTTCTAAACCTCGTGGCTGAACTTTGTGTAAGGATCTGTGTGGCTGATGTGCAGCTTTGTCCTCTATTATACACGGGAGACATGGTGAACTGTTTCCACTGCGAAAGTTTACTTTGCTGAAGAATAGTGGTCCTGCAGCAGTGCTGTGCTTTGGAAGCCTAAGCAGCTGGATGCTGCTGCTGAAATGGTCCTCTGCCAAATGAAGACTAGATTTTGAGTTTCTTGGTAGGCACCTAAGACAGCTGTGTGTTAGGGGCAATCAGGGCAGTTCACACATCTGGGCTGTTATTTCAGCTGCTGTGCATACACCCTGTTAACTCATTGCATTGTATCATGCCTGGAACTGTTTCCTTTCTGACTGTAAAGGCTGAAGAATTTATACAGCTTACGTGAAAGCTTTATTCTGCACACGCTGGTTGGACCTGAAAAATGTTTACTGAACTGCTTAGCACTAACTAGTTCATCTCTGGGCTTAAGCAAATACCAAGCATTTGCTGTGCATTTGAAACACCAACTGGACTGTCGTCAGCCAATGATCACACTCTCCTCTGTGGAGGAGCAATCCAAAAAGGAGCCCCCTTTTCCTGAGAAGGGGCCAACCTTAGAGCAGTGCAGGCCCTCCCAGGTCCAGTCCTCTGATTCACTGGCCAAAGGAACCACTGGTTTTATTCTGATCCAAGTGGAATAATTGGAGACAGTCTTTATAAGACTGTGAATACATGCCTGGTTTGAGAGCCACCTTGCTGGTAAGTGCGTGTTTCTGAGCCTGTTGTGGCAGCAGCTGGTCCTGGTGGAAGCCAGCCTGAATCAGAAGAGTATTGCAGACCTCACCCTTCTGCAGGATGTGAAAGGACAAAGGACTCAAATGTGTAGCAGTTGCTGAGTCTCATTGCTCAGCATACTACTGGAAAGCTCTTGAATGCTGCAGTAGAGCCAAATGCATCCCTCATTCTAGGGGAAAGTTGGCTTTTTGTGAGTTTATATGAGTGTTTGTTGCAGCCACCTGCTGCCTGCGAAGTGCTTTGAACCCAAGCAGTGACTACTGGACTGTGATTTATCCCAGTGGGTTGGGTTCCCACTCTGCAGCAGGAGTGAGGAGCCAAGCTTTTTCTTCTGTTCCCATATGAGGTCAGAGAGCAGAGGGGTCCCCCAGGGCTGGGCAGCAGCAGCAGCAGCAACATGGTGAATGGAGTAAAGGTGCACCTGCTGTGACCACCAGAGGTGCCAGCAGCAAAGCATTGGCTCGTGCTGGGTGTGTTTGACTTTCTCATTGTTGGTGGCTTGTTTCTTGTTTTCCAGGTGTTTCAGTGACCTCAAGTAACACAGGTGTGCCTGATATCAGTGGCTCAGTCTATAACAAGACTCAGGTGAGCAACGGTGTGCTCTCCTCCCGCATGGCCTGAGCCCAGGCTCATGGTCCCCTCCTGTTCACAGGATTTCAGGGTCAGCAGGCCATGGCATTTCTGGTTCTGTTTGCTGTTGGAGTGGAGTCTCACCTTCTGTCCCACTGTTTCTGCCCTGTCAGCTCCTGACAGCAGCTGCTGGCGCACATAAGTCATAGAATCACAGAATGATTTGGGTTGGAAAGGACCTTAAGATCATCTAGTTCCAGCCCCACTGCCATGCACAGCACTACCTCAAACACCCGAGGGCCCTTGCGCCATGACATCCTGTGGCCATACACAGCATGCAGCTTCCCAGGGAAGGCAGGAAGGGCTTTGACAAAGTGTGGTGGGCTTATGTCCAGCTCCTGTTTTCTCCTGCCTGCACCTTCAGCCAGGGTAATTAGCGTCTGGATGTGAACCATGCTTACAAATAAGAAGCCATCTCTCAGCTACATGCTTACCAGGGGCCAGGGAAGGAAAATCTTACTGCAAGTTGTTCTTGCATTTTTGTTGGGCTGCTGTGGTAGGTCAAGGCTGAGCCCCTGTGATGTGTGAAGGACTGATTTCAGGCAGCTGCTGCCATCCTGTGTCCCACTGAGTGAGAAGAGGTTGATGAAAAAAGGAACACAATAGCTGTGGAAATAGAAATAAAATACTGGAGACATTAGTGCAGAAGTATGGGTGAGAACAGGAGCTGAAACTCCTGAACTACTCCGCCTAAGTGCTTGCAAGTATTTAATGTAACTTGGCTTGCTCATGGGGTTTGTGAAAGGTTAAGGTGATGTGTTTGGGCTGTTCTTTTCTTACCTGGACACTGTGGGGCTGCTCATACCAGTCTCTGACACTGTTCCCGTCGCCTCCCGTGCAGACATTTGACAAGCAGGGATTCCATGCTGGCACACCGCCTCCTTTCAGCCTGCCCTCTGCTCTTGGATCGACTGGGCCCCTGAACCCTGGTGCTGCCCCGGGTTATGCTCCAGCCCCGTTTCTCCATATCCTCCCTGCACATCAGCAGCCTCATTCCCAGTTGCTGCATCACCATCTTCAGCAAGACGGGCAGGTGAGTTTGACCCTTCTTGCTTCTACAGCATGCTTGAGGACAGATTGCTCCCCCCACATCCCAGGAGGGCTTAGTGGGGGTTGGCTTCCCTCTGAATCCTTGCTTTGCTCATTGGGAAAAGGGAATGACAGTGATTGCATATTGACAAACTTGATGCTGTTGACCAGGTTGGAGAGGGAGCCTCATGAAGCTGAGCTAGGGGAACTTCATGTCCTTGCCCTAAAGAAGGACAGTGTGATCCTGGACTGCATTAGGGAAAGCATTTCCAGCAGGTTAAGGGAGCTGATCAGCACTGGTGAGGCTACAGCTACAGCTGTCGTGTTCCATTCTGGGGTCCTCAGTATGAGAGAGACGTGGACACACTGAGAAAAGTCCGGCATAGATCCACAAAGACGGTGAAACAACTGACTGCAGCATCTCTCCTGTGAGGAAAGGCTGGGAGAGCTGGGACTGTTGAGGCTGGAGAACAGGAGGCTCAGGGGTTAGGCAAGACACCTCTAGAGGTCCCTGCCAGCCTCAGCTGGCCCAGGAGTAGATCATGAGCACTTGTACAGTAGCCCTGGGGGATAAAGTTCAGCATCCCCTTGCAGGTTGCATATCAGCTCTGATTTGGTTTCACCAGCTCATGCGTTTCCTTTCCTCACTATTAAGGTTCCCTGAAAAAACAGAGTGTCCTGCCTTAGAGTCCAGAAATAGGAAATTACTTCTTGCTGTGTGTGTGTGATGTCCTTGGCTGGTGCACCACCTCTGTTCACCTTGAGAGAGGGAGTGCCTTTGCTGTCCCCACTCCTGCTCCTCTCCTTCCTTGTGCTTAAACCTGACTTGGATGGAAGGCAGTGGAATGGTGCATCCATGTGATCTGCTTCAGTGTCTCTGTGGCTGCTCATCCTGGATTGTGAGACACAGAGATGCAGGGCAGCAACGGGTCAGTTCAGGGGGAGCATTGCTGCACTGGTGGGCACTAGGGCTGTCCCCTGGGGTGGCAGCTCCTCTGGTAATGTTCACATGGGCTCTACTTTCTATGGTAGCTGATGCCTCTTATCTCCTTTGTTGCCTGTTTCTAGGGTGGATCTGGCCAACGCAACCAACCCAGCACCATGCAGCAAAAGTCTCAGGCTACCAAAACCGCCTATGGCACTTCTCCGTACTGGACAAACTAAATCCGACACTGGGGAGGAGGGAGAGAGTGGAAGGAGAGGAGGAGAAAAAGAAACAAAGAAAAATGAAAGAAAAGAGAAAAAAGTCAAAAAAACGAAGCCCATTCCTGGATTTATTGGGAGAAGTAACTGCTCAGCCAAACGTCTGTGTGGGGAGAACTGCAGCCATCCATCCATCCTCTGTGTGACTCACCTGCTTCCTCTTTGAGTTACTGTTGTATGTAATATATTTATGTATGTATTTGTAAATGTAATAGAGCCTAAATGTGGGTTTTCTGCATCTTGCAGCCATTTTTTTTTTCTTTGTAGGAAAAATAATTATCCATTTCCCATCTGTACCAGGCCATCCTTTCTTGTTCTTTCTTTAAGCTCTATGGATTTTATAACTCTGTCAATGACAAACTGTACCATTTTGGGTTTTTTTTGTTTCATTTTTGGTTTTTTTTTTTCTTTTTTTTGTGAGCTGGAGCCCATTTATTTAATGCAGTTCTAAATTCAGGCAAATAAGGAGGCCTGCTCCTTTCCACCCAAAGAAATCAAGATGTGCCCTGTTGCTTTGATTTCTCCCTTCAGCCCCCAGTATAGCTATCATTTAAACGGGGTGAGAGGGGTGGGGAAAAAGAACAGAAAAAACATGTTTTATGGGCCTTCCCCTTTCTTTTGTCTCCCGCCTCCCTCCTGCTGTGGAAGATGAAGCCCTGTGGGCAGTTTGGTCACTGTGGCCCTGAGCTGCAGCCTCACATTATTATTTTTATTTTTTTTTAACAATAAAAATAAAAGGGGTTTCCCTTTTTGGTTTGTTTTAGGGTTTGTTTGTTTGGTTGTTGTTTTTTTTTAATTCTGTTTCTCTAGCAAGAGACTGTGGATGGCTCAGTGCGTCCTGGAACCTCCTTTGCATCATTAGAGGCAAAAACTGGGTAGCGGTTTCTTAAAGTATAAGCTCTGTCTTGTACCTCTTTTTGCCCTGAGCCACCCTGCCCAGGAAAGCCAGAGCTACTGGATGAAAACTTCACCTATCCCTCCCACTTTTATAAAACAGAGACCCTTATGGAGGCAACTCCTAGTCCTTCTTGTCCTACACCAGTGCGGTGAATGTTTCATTTCTTTCTACCCCTTCCTCCACCTAATAAAGATCTGAGCATATCACTAGTGTTTGTCTGCATTTTCAAGGGTTCCAGGAGAAGCTTTGCTTTCACAGCCTGTCCCTTTACCCCCTGCTCCACCCAACAAAAGCTGAGCTGGGAGGGTGAGAGCAGCACATGGGGCTGCAGGGGAAGCTGAGTACCATGGCCAAGGTGAGTGTACCTCAGTGGGCCCTGGGCAGCACCCTGGCCCGTGTCATGCGCGTCCATCCCTGCCTATTGTGTCCTCTGGTCCTGTGCTCTGTACAAATCCCTACGGAACAGATGGCATGGGTAAAGCAGGAGTGTGGCTTCAGTGCTGCTGTGAGGTCCATGGCCTCCACCAGCATGGGCACAGAGGGGCAGCGCCTGGCCCAGCTCACCCTGAGCATCCTGGCCCCAGGCAGCAGAGGTAGGGTGTAGAGGTGAAGCTGTACATGTCCGTGCAGCAGGGAAGGGGCTTTTTTGCACTTCCCAGTTCTGTTTCAAGATCCAGAAGAAGACACAATAATGGAGCTGTTTCTACCATGAAAACCACGTTTTGTTCTTAACATACCATCTCTGAGGTCCTGTAGGAGCCCAAGTCAGTGTGTCACTTGGCCCTCTCCTTACCTGTGAGCAGCACACCATGAGCAGCACTGGGATTACTCTGCCCCAGCTCAAGTTTTTATACTGGTTGAACTTCAGCAGCTGCTGTGACCCCTTGGCCAACAGCTCTGGGGCCTGAATGTCAAGGAGGACACAACAGTTTCTGCAGGCTGGGGCCCTGCTGCCAGGTCTACGAAGGCTGACAGCAACAGCACCTCCTTCACTTGTGACAGCTGCTGCCTCATAGGAGATGCTCTGGAAAACATTCTCCATAGCCTGCAGCATGCACTTCGGTTGTTCATAGGTGTATGTCAGTGCTTGCCTGTGTGCCGGGTTCCACACAGTGGCTAAAGGCAATGCTCAGTGTTGGTGCTGGTGCACAGCAGCCCTCTGAGCCTTAGGGCTCAGAGCAGCTTCTGGCAGGGGCTGACTGCAGCCAGTGCTCCCCTGCCCTCCCCAGCTGCAGTGTCCATCCTTGGCCATGGCTGTGGGTACAGAAAGGGCAGCGCTTCCACTCCTCGTGGCCATGGGCTATGATGGCCTCCAGCTCCCTCTTCCCCAGCACAGGGCAGCAAAGGCACCTTCCCACCCACCCTGGGGTGCTCTGCACCCAGCCACAGGCAGGCTCCCCTCCTTTCCAAGCCAGACTAAACAGAATGTTTTCCTATTGGATTCCCATTTCCTATTGGATCTGCTGGGCAATTCTGCAGCACTTCCCTAGGCCCCTGTTCCTTCCCCTATGATCATAGAGCCAAGGTTGCTCATGGGCACTTGGCCATCAAATAAAAGGGCAGCTGGGGAGTGCAGGCTGGGCTGGAGAGCGTGTCCTGCCTCACGTCTGCTGAATGGAGCAGCCAGAACAAGCTGGTCACAATCCCTCTCAGTCCCATTGCCCAACATAGAGGCTCCTGCAATGCCATCACCAGTCCCCCAGCGTGGCTGTGAACCCAAAGCTCTCGGGCCACAGCCACATTTGACTCAGCAGGTGCTGTGCTGCACATGATGCCAAGCACAGCTCCCACACATGTGCCCTCCTAATTTTACTCATGCAGCAGCCTGGTACTGTGAAACAAACCTCTTCCCTATGGAGCTCACAGGAACCCAGGGAATTCCCTGTGGGGCTGGAGTGATGACCTTGATTCCTCTGCCAAGCTTCTGGATGAGGCCCCAGCCCTTTCCCCCAGCACCTCAGCCCCATAGCAGCAGGAGCTCTGCCCCACGGCCTGCACCCTTGCTGCAGGTACATGAGGCACTGAATCATGCCCATGCTGGTTTTAGGTTTCTCAGCAGCAAAGCCCAAGGCCTGTTGTGAAAGCCTTTCTCTAAATCAGTTCATCCTTTTAGTCTGGGGCTTAGGCAAGCATCTGTCAAACAGCAGCTTTATCTGCCTATCACCTTCCAGCTAATTATGTGCATGGCATTGATACTGAACCTGTGAACAGATGTTATCTAAGCCTTTTATGTAACCCACACAACCCAACCAGCTCGATTAACAGTGAAGGACCATGCCAGGGTCATTTTCATTTCACATTTTTATTAGTAGACAGATGTGCAGAAAAGACAAAATATAACTACTGAAGGGGAAGACAACACAAAAATGCATCAGTTAATTCTTTCTGGTAAATTATACTGAAGAGAAAAAGAAAAACAAAAAGGAAAAACATCTGGGCTTTCACCTAAGAAAACTACTTAGAAATCTAGTGTACCCTGCTGGTTTCAGAATGGTTGAAAACTGCATTTGAAGGGGCCTGTAGTTGCAAATGTAAACGCTAATATCAGCCAACACAGGAGAAAAGGGTCAAGATAAAAACTCCGGAATACACAGATCAGGTAAACATTTTTTCTGCAATCTCTTAAATAGTTAAAAAACAAACCAAAAACAAACCAAAAAAAAAAAAAAAACAAAAAACCACCCTCATACTTCAGTTTGTATCTTAAAAAGAAAGGAAACCAGCAAGTCAACAAGCAATGACACTGCACAGGACAGCAGGAAAGAGAAATCAGTCTGTTCAATGTAGGAGCGCTCAAAATAGTTTGCTTTTGAGTTTAAAAAAAGGTAGAGTCATGATAATGCATCTTACAACACCAAGCTTGAAAATACAAGTCACTGGAGAGTATACAGTGAAGACGGTCAAAAGTACAAGGGGAATCCTGAAAGATGCAGTATCCTCATTTCAAGCCATGAGCACAGCCACACTCTGCTCCTTCACCCTCCAAGCAGCACCCGAAACATGGAAGGTGGTGTCCCTATCCCCATGCAGCCCCAGGACTGGGGGTGCCCCACACCATCGCTGGTGCAGGGGAGCCCCTCTTCCAGCACCAGAAACACGAGGGGCTGAGCTTGCCCTTGCTGGAAGCGGGATGAGCTGGGGCAACACTTGCAGGATGCTGCAGGAGGGGTTTGGCTGCCTCCCCAGGTAACATGCAGGCAGAGGGTCACAGGAGCACTGGGGGACAAGGTGTCACCACAGGGGCTGTCCCTGCTGCAGCACATCCCAGCCAAGCAGTGTCCTGGATGCACATCTGCCCTGCTCACTTGCAGAGAGCCCACCAGCCTTCATCACCCCAAGGGCTGCCCTCCCCTGCTCTCCATCCAGGCGCTCGCTCCCATCCCGCTCCTCCTTGTCCCCCGGGACACAGCCACGGAGCTGGTGACAGAACAAAGGTTACTCCCAGCAAAGCACCCCGGTGACGTACCATTGAAAGCCCTGAGATACACCAAGGGGAGGCAGAAGCAAGTGCCCAAGCCTGCAGCTCTGTCAGGGTAAAGCCACCTCTGTACCTGTGTTGATGGAGGGTCTTGCACCTCAGCCCTGATGCTGGAGGTGCAGGCTCAGCACAGGAGGAGCATGCAAAGGGTGAACTGGGGCCACTGCACCACAGGCAAACACAAGCAGCACACTGCAAAGGGGTGAGGGTGCTGAGTGACTGGGGAAGAGGGTTCTGCAGACACGAGCAAGCCGGATCCCCCCCTAAGCTCTGCCAAGAGATCCCAAAAACATGCAGAAGGCTGAGCTTAGTGCACCGGCTGAAGCATGCTGCGAAAGAGCCTGTCTAACCCTGCCGCTGGCCTTCTCTTACAGCCTGAAAGCACCATGTACCCCTCTCCGGTGGGCTGCACACATGCACCCGTGCTCTCCCCCAGCAAGGCAGGGGAGAGCCCGGCACACATCCATCCCCTGTGCCCCATAGCTTCTGCAGGCACAGGGGCAGCCTGGCCACCCCAGGCAGGCACCAAAGGCAGCTCTTTATCTCCGCATTTACCAATGTGTGACCTACATAAACACCACAAACACTGGACACAGGCTGCAGGAAGCACGGGCTGCTAGCAAGCACTGCGGCAGGAGTCTTTCAGTATCCCCCCCCTGCCATAAAGTAGCTGAGGATGAAG